CGAGTTCGAAAGAAGAGAGCTGGAGGAGAACCAGGGAAGAAGCAGCCAAGCCAACTCTACCTGCCCGAGTAGGAAGGGAGCAACAACGCCCAACCAACCAACCTAACAAATCATGGCGGGAGCGGCATGACTGGCTCACCCTTCCAGGAGGTTCCAGAGAGAAGGACAGGAGAAACATCGATCCTGTCCGAACCAAGTGAAGACACCACAGAGACTGCACTGCGCAGGTCAAGTAGGATCCACAAAAGCCCTGCCTATTTGCGTGACTATGTCACGTAAGGATGGACCATACCAAGAGGGGAGGGGTGTTGTATATAGGCATTTGCATACTCGTAATACAACGTTCCAATTGGACAATCACTGCCGCCTAGCGATTGGTGGTTAACAACGAATTATGATTGACGCCTAAATGGCAGGAGGTTTAAAATGATGCCATTGGTTGCGAGCCGTGAGCAGCCGCTATAAAAGAGCCAGCCGCGGCTCGAGTTTATTTGAAGTTACTGACAGTTAAATAAAGAGCTGAACTCAACTCTGGTCTCGAGTCTACTTTGTTCTGGCGATAGAACATCCTCCTTCTCCCTCGGCTTCCTCGCCCCCTTCCCATCCTCCACGCCGGAGCCTCCCGGCCTCCCTCCCTCCTTCCCCCGCGGAGCCTTTCCAGGGGCTCCTCCGATCTCTGCGCCGCCCACAGGGCGGCGGTTCCTGAGGGAGGTGAGTCCGGATTCCCATGAGAGGCTTTTTCCCTCCGTCTCCACCGATGGTTCCTGGGCAGGAAGGAAAGGAAGGCGGAGAAAGAGCCACCTCCCAAGACCTTGACAGGGAGCCATGGAGCCTTTCTCTCTACTCCCAAGCCGCCCCCTCCCTTCCCCCTCATGCGCTCCTTTTTCCCGCCCTTTCTATCATCGGATGCTTTGGCCCAGATCCACCAGGGGGCGCCCTCTGCCAAAAGGAAGGGAATTCCAGGCGCTTCCCCATTGGGCCACTGGAGGGCGAATGTCACGGCTGCCTTCCCGGAGGAGGAGGGAGGAGGAGGAGGCGAAGGAAGTGACATCACTGAGCCTTGCCTCTTTAAGATGCTGCACTCGCTCTCCTCAAACCCTGGCGTGCCGTAGGAGGTGGTGAGGCTGTGGGAGAGTCTGGCGGAGAGGGGCGGAGACATCCAGATGTGCCCCGGGTGAGGGGGGGTCTTTTCCTGGGTCCCATTCTCCTCAGCAGCCCTCTCCATACGAAGGGGGGGAGGAGAGGGTGGGCCTTGCGGAGGCCCAGCAGGGGAGGAGAGAAGCCGGGCGAGGAGGAGGCAGGATTCGCACCAGGCATCCTGAGGGTCCAATCCCATCTCCGGAGGGGGCTGAGAAGATGAAGGGGGCGGCCTCTCCAGCTGCCTCCTTCCCGGCCCTGTTCGGGGGCGGGGCTATGCCCGGCGCTGGGAGGAGCCTCTTGGGGCTCCGGGCAGGTTGGGGGAAGGGGGTCCAGGGCCTGAATCCCCCTTTCTGATCCTGGGCGTTGTTTTTTCTCTCCCTCCCAGATCCGGAACCTCGGAGCCTCTGCAGCCTTTGCAAGCCAGGATTTCCTCTGCGGAGGAAGGAAGGAAGAAAGAAAGAAAGAGAGCGGAAGGACCTCCAGCAATCCGTCCTGCAGACCAGAAATGGTCCTGTGAAGGAAGAAGCCCCTGGAGACCCCCCCAAAAAAAGTCCCTGGAGCCCTTTGGAGCTGCTCTGCTGGAGAGAGGAAGGATGGAGATACCCCCTTTGGTCAAGGAGGGGACTGGAAAAGGCCCTGCAGCTCTTCAGCCTGGGAGCTATGGGGAGAGCTGGACCAGAACCAGGCAGAAGGTCCTGCAGGAGGGGACCATCCTCCCCTCAGCAGTTCCACCCTGGACCTCCATCCAATACCGGGAGGCTGAGGGTCCCCGAGGACTTTGCAGCCGACTCCATGATTTGTGCAGGCAATGGCTGAGCCCAGGAAAGCACACCAAAGCCCAGATGCTGGACCTGGTGGTTCTGGAGCGGCTCCTGGCTCTCCTGCCCCCAGAGATGGAGGGCTGGGTGCGGGAATGTGGAGCAGAGACCAGCTCCCAGGCGGTGGCCCTGGCAGAAGGCTTCCTCCTGAGCCAGGCGGAGGAGCAGAAGGAGCAGCTCCAGTGGCAGGTGGGAGACTTTAGGGAGTTTGGAAGGGAATAAATAGAGTGCTTGAACTCTTCACCCCTCCTTCCCAAACTTCTCCCACGTTCATAATATGTGGCAATTCTCCAATTCTTGTAGGACATTTTTCCATTGTTTTCTCACTCAGCCACACGGATGGATATTGGGGGCTTTGAAGTTGTGCTCCAAATATAAGAATCCACTTTCTGCCATGTGATGTACATTAATTCTGCTTTTTCCTTCCTTCCTCCTATTTGAAGTGCTGCACTGTGGAGATCAGAGATCCTGAGGGAAAGAAGAACCCATCAAGTCCCCCTCAGGAGCTATTTTTCAGGAGGATCCCTTGGGAAGATCCAAGTCAGGACACCTCAGGAGGTAATGGAAGATCCTCCAATTCCCCATCTGTCTTACCTTCCCTCTTTCTTCTCACCTTTAGAATACCTCCTCCTATTTTGTTAATTATGCATTTTGAAATTATTTATTCCTTACAGAGAAACAAAGAATGAAACTTTCTGGTTTTTATGATGGAAAGCTAACAGCGGTTGAACCTCCCAATCAAGTAAGAAAGGGAAAAGATACCAGATTTCTATTCTCCCTTCAGGAAGTGAAGTGGGTGTGCAGAGTGTTCTCTCCTTCTGTTTTCCCCCCTTGTTTGGCCTGGATTATTTTTGTGTTCTTCCACAACATGGAGAGCAGAATAGCAGGTTCAAGTTGCTGTCGGCCAGCATAGTTTCCTCTGGTTGTCTTGTTTTGCTAGGTTCTTCTCCATGTTGTAGTTTACAACAAGCAGTTTTTAAAAACTCCTTGAAGAAATAGGAATAAACAGTGGTAGGAACTGCTAGAGACCCCCAAAAAATGTTGTAATTCTTTGACTCACACTTGTGCAACGCTAATGAAAAATAAATAAATACATTACCATTTTTAAAAACCCTTAAAAACCAGGGTCTGCACAAAACCATATGGGCTACTGCATTTTGCACCAACTGGAGCCTCCAGATGCTCTTCAAGGGCAGCCCCATGTGGAGAGCATTGCAATAGCCAAGACAGGAAGTGACAAGGACATGAGTGACTTTGAGTAAGGACTGTTGGTCCAGGAAAGGGCATAACTGGCGCACACCCTGAAGTTGCACAAAGGCCCTCCTGGCCATGACCGTCACCTGGTCTTTGAGCAGGAGTTGTGAGTCCAAGAAAACCCCTAGATTACACACAGGGTCTGTTTAGGGTAGTGCCACCCCATCCAAGACTAAAGGTGGCAATTCTACCTGAGCCAACAAACTCCAAACCCAGAGTCACTCGGTCTTGCAAGGGTTTAGTTTCAACCCATTGCTTCCCATCCAGCCCCTAACAGCCTCCAGGCACTGCGAGAGGGAGGACATGGCATCACTTAACTCACCACTGGCTGAGACATACTGCTGAATATCATCAGCATATTGGTGATACCTCAGTCCATGGTGACGGATGATCTCATCCAGTGTCTTCATATAAATGTTGAACAGGAGCAAGAGAGAATACCAAGCCTTGCGGTACCCCATAAAGCAGTGGGCGAGGGCTGGATCTCTCCCCTCCTATCAACACTGACTGAGAGCAGCCACAGAGGAAGGAAGTGAACCAGGATAGCACAAAGCCTCCCATTCCCATCCCCTGAAGAGGAGGAGAACAAGAGAATCCCATGTTCGGTGGTATTGAAATTACTTTACTGAAAGACACTGAAGGTTTTGCAGAATCAATCAATTTGATAAAACTCCAAATATTTCTTCAGTGAAAGCAATTTTCAGATTTGCCCATTTTCTCACCTAAAATTAGGACTTGTGTGACCCACAGCCATTTAACTTAATGCATATCTCTGCTTTGGGAATTTGGGAACAATGGAACGGAATAACAGAGTTGGTAAGGATCTTGGAGGTCTTCTAGTCCAACCCCCTGCTCAGACAGGAAGCCCTATAACATTTCACATAAATGGCTGTCCAGTTTCTTCATAAACACCTCCAGTGTTGGAGCACCCACAATTTCTGGAGGGAAGTCATTCCACTGATTAATTGTTCTCAGTGTCAGGAAATTTCTCTTGACTTGTAGGTTGGTTCTCGCCTTGAATAGTTTCCATCCATTGCTTCTTGGAACACTGCTATCATGTTACCCCCAGTCCTTCTTTTCATGAAACATACCCAATTCCAGGCACCGTTCTTTATATGTTTTAGCCTCTGGTCCAACTAATAATTTTTCTTGTTCTTGTCTGCACTCTTTCTAGAGACTCAAGATCTTTTTCACATCTAGCAACCGAACTGGATGTAATATTCCAAGTGTGGTCTTATCAAGGCATTATCAATTCATGTCATCTTGATTCTATCCCTCTTAATGCAGCCTATGCTTCTGTTGGGGTTTTTTGGGGCAACTGAAGCATAGTGCTGACTCAGTTTAAGTGGTTGTCCACTAGGACTCCAAGATCCCTGTTGCACTTGCTACTCTTGAGCCAGATATCACTTATTCTATGCCAGTGCATTTGTTTTTTTCTTTCCTAAATATAGAACCTTACATTTCTCAGTTTTGATTTCGTTTTGTTAGATGGGGCCCAATCTGTCGATCCTTCTGTATCTCAAGGTTAACTTCTAGAGTGTTGGTATTCCTGTCAACTTGGTCTTGTCTGAAAATTTGATTAGTTCCCCTTCTTTCCTCTTGTCTAAATCAATGTTGAAGATGAACAGATCTTGGGAATCCTCCTGTTCTGTTCTTTTTTTCTATGTCCAGGAGGGTCTTCTGTCCTTTGAGGAAGTGGCTGTGTATTTCTCTGAGGAGGAATGGTCTCAGTTGGATCCTGACCAGAAAGCGCTGCATTTGGAAGTCATGCTTGAAAACCATAGGAACATGGTCTCTCTGGGTAAGAGTTTTTAGTCCCCAATCAGAGAGTTCAGAGAGTTCAAGAAGAGAGATTATAGTTAGTTTTTTATTTAAAAAACAGTCAGAGATTGTCTCCTGAATGGGAGAAGGAAAGGATCTGACCTTCTCGTGATCCAAAGAAGGAAAGAGTCAATGTGTCTTTGCTTAGATGTTTTCTGTGCCATTTCTTATCTGTATTTTTCCATTTCTATTTGAACTTCTCTGTGGAGGCTGAAAAGAACGAGGTATGCTTTTATGTGTCCTCTGGAGGTCGTGTGAGAGGAGTGTGTTGTCATTTGTCCTCTGGAACCTCCCCAAATTGTGTGAGAACAGAACTTTCATGTTCAGCCCATGGAACAGCATTCTCCCAATCCAATTCAAGAACAAAGGCCTCATGCAGTGTGACTCAGAGCATCCTAGGGTACAAGTAATCCCCAAGTTATGACAGTTCACTTAGCGACCGTTCCAAGTTATGATCAGCCCTCCTCCAGTACTTGAGACCCAGTCCCCTCTTTGTTTTCAAAGACTTTTTACTTGGATCTCGTGAAGTCCTCAGTTCTTAAAAGAACACAGGTCTAAAGTACTGCAGTGCGAGATCACAGAAGATTAGTAGCCTGAGATCTTGCACTATTGGGCTTGTGTGATCTCATACTAAAGTACTTTAGGCCTCCGTTCTCTGAGAACCAACGCTTATACAAGATATGGCCCAAGAGCCCTTGCAAGGCTTTGGGGCAGTGAAATAGCCATTCTTGAAGCATCCCAACCTTTCCAGTCTCAGCACAAAGAGCAAGGGATTTATCTCCAAAGTTTCATCGCTGGGATCGAAGAACAGGCCAAGCAGGGGTCCTGCCCACCAGACAGATGCCGTGGAGCAGCTGCTGCAAGGTACACCGGGGAAGAAGGAGCTTGTTTCAAAATTGTTTCATTTCTCACAGGTCTCTGCTGAAATTAAGCCACCCCAATAAAACTTAAGTTTTCTCCTAATTCCTGCTTGGATGTTTCCCCTGATTGTTCCTTAACTCAAAACTGACTCTGAGTGAGATTTGCATATATATAGATAATTGTAAAATAAGAGACGTTGTTGTAGATATTTTCAAAGCTTTCATGACTCACGAATATAGAAATCATCATGTCTATATTACACCACTGCAGGCATGCAAGCATACAACCTAATGGAATTTTGGAGAAATTCAGAAGGAAATTCACTTTCTACACTTTGATCTTTTTCTCTAACCTTGTTATCATTTTCATTTCTCTTTTGCTTTAAAGGTAATAATGGACAGGAAAATCAAGATTCCTGTGAACTGTTCCAAGTGATCAGTGCTAAAGGTGGAACGGATAAGTTTGGAATTCAAATGGAATTAGAAAGCCATGAGAGAAACCAGTCAAAGAATTGGAATCAGGAAAGCTCATTTTCCACTGCTGCTCCGATGCAAGACTTTCTTGCCCAACAAGAGAAAATAAGGAAAAAATATACTGGAAAAAGTGTGAATCTAATCAAAGCTAAAGTACAAGTAAATGAACACTATTTAACCCAAAACAAAGGAGATGATGCTATAAGAAGACACAACGGACAAAATTACAATGGGACATTCATTCTTTCTCTTGGAAGTAACTTCCATACATCTCAAAAAGTGATTCACACAAAAGAGAAGCCTTATAACTGTTTGGAATGTGGAAAATGTTTTAGAACAAGCAGGGAACTTACTATCCATAAAAGGATCCACACAGGGGAGAAACCATATAAATGCATGATGTGTGGAAAGAACTTTGTTCAAAGTGGTCATCTTAGTTCCCATAAAAGGATCCACACAGGGGAGAAGCCGTATAAATGCATGGAGTGTGGAAAGACGTTTGCTCAAAAGCAAAGTCTTATTTCCCATAAGATGACACACACAGGAGAGAATCCATTTAAATGCATGGAGTGTGGAAAGACCTTTGCTCAAAAGCAGAGTCTTATTTCTCATAAGATTATCCACACAGAGGAGAAACCGTATAAGTGCATGGAGTGTGGAAAGACCTTTACTCGAAGAGATGTTTTTATTTCCCATAAGATGACCCACACAGGAGAGAAGCCATTTAAATGTATGGAGTGTGGAAAGACCTTTGCTTGGAGCAGTGGCCTTAGAAGCCACAAAAAGATCCACACAGGGAAGAAACCATTTGAATGCATGGAATGTGGAAAGTTCTTTGCTTATAGATATAAACTTATTTCCCATAATATGATCCACATGAAAGAAGCCATATAAATATATGGAATTTGGAAAGACTCATAGATGAAATGTTATTTCCCATTAAAAATTAGGTGAAGGAATATTATTGTTATGTAGGAATTAAATACAAAGAAGGTTGACAATTAGAAACATGTTGATACAATTAACATAAAAAGTATAAATAAGCTAATACAAAAAATGACTTAAAATCATGATTGTTACTAGTATATATGTTGATATTTGTTTTTTCTTTTGCATTTTCGTAAATGATATGCCCTGACATACTGTATTCAAAATGTTTTTGAACAAAACATATACTCAAATAAAATAAAATGTATGGAATGTGGAAAGAGTTTTCTTCAGAATGGTCATCTTATTTCTCCTAAAAGGATCCATGCTCAGGACAAACTTTATAGCAACAGCAATTCCACTTAGACTTATATACCACTCAACAACGCTTTACCACACTCTGAGCAGGTTACAAAGTCAGCTTATTGTCCCCAGCAATCTGAAAAAATATAGATTCTTAGAGGGCTTGAGATGGTGGTAGGATAACAGATTAACAAAGTTGGGAGGGATCCTGGAGGTCATCTAGTCCAACCTGTCGAAGGGATTTTTATCAGGGGCCACTTTGTGAGGAAAAGGAGGGTCCTGACCCACAGAAGGAAGGAAAGGGGGCATTGGAGGGGCGGGAGACCAGAAGGAGCGGCTTCGTCCAGACATTCCAAGCAAGGGGGACGGGTTTCAAGGAGGGGAATCGCCTTTTTCTCCCCCGAAGCAAAGCGGTGCCTCTTCCTGGTTTAATGGAGGGTTTTCCAGGGTTTTCCTCCCTTTTGGGGGTGTCTGTGGTTGACCCCCGACTTCCCCCCACTTGCCATCCAATACAGCAGCTCTTCCCATGGCAGAATCCACCCATGAAATGAACACGCGTTTGTGTGTTTGTATTTGTGTGTGTGTGTTTTCTGTCTTCTGCACAGTGGTGGATTTAAGCTGTGCAGATACAGATAGATAACAAGACGTCCATAACAAAGCACATTTATTGGTTCATCAGGTATCCTCACAACTCATATTTGTCACAAAGTTCTTCTTTAATGACCAATCCTTCGTATATCTGCCTTGTAGTAAAAGATGGTTATCTCCTAACCCATCTCGTAGGGATAGAAAGCAGCTGCCATGAGTTAGGGAGTTCAGGCAAAAGTGAGGGAAACTCCCCCAACCCATGGAGGGTCAAATTAGTGACCAATCAGGATTACAGATATGGCCACCTGACATGAACTACATTTCCCAGGATACCTTTAACTACATTTACCATGATGCATTCCCCTAAGGAGACAGCTCATAATTCCTAAGTAACTATCCATTTACCATAGACTGGCTGGGACAGCACAGTGTGTGTAAGGAGGAATGTGTGTCAAGCAGGAGGGTTTTTCTTGGACTTTTGAGCTGGGTGGGGCAGAACAAGCTGAAGCACCAATGGGAATTCTCCCTGCTGAAGCATCATTGGTGTCCGGGCAGATCCTTTGTGACTTTACCTGAAGTGGGAGGAGGATGTTCGGGGACAGGGAACGAAGCTGAAAGTGGGGATCCCTTCAGTCTTGGGGCCTGCAGCTCAAGAGGGGTTCATGGCAGGCCGAGAAGGGACCCTCCATTTCTTTGCTCTCTTCACGATTCTCAGCTACACTTTCCTTTGCACGGAGGGATGGACTAGATGTCCGCTTAGGTTGCCAAACTGCCCGCCCCCCTGATCTTCCTCAGAAAGGGGCCTCCGATTTTTTTCTAGCTAACTCGGGGGGGGGTCCATGAAAGGGGGGGGGGGGGGGGGGGGGGGACGCTTGGCTGAGGAGAAGGGAGAGAGGAGGGAGGGGCTACTCCAGGGGGAGGGCCTCGTAAAGGGATGGCAAACCTTGTAGGGACCGAAGGGCCCAAACTGTCCCCCAAACCCCCTTATTTCTCACAAAGGGCCAATGGGGCCATTTAACACACAACTCAGGAACGACGGGAGGGTAGAGCAGGAACCTCTGAAGGGCCATCCGGCGATTCCATCCTCCCTCCCTCTCTCTCTCCCCCCTTCCTCCCTTCCCTCCTCCCTTCCCTCCTCCCTTTAATCCTGTATATTATGGTTCTTTATTGTTCATATTTATTAAAGAATGCCGTGTAGCTTAGAAGCTCTCAGGAAAAATAACCGCAGCTGTTCTTTGTGGCTAAAGCTGTCCTCGGCTGTCATTTACACACACACACACACACTCCCTCCCTCTCTCCCTCCCCCCCCTCACAGCCCTTCAGCAACGAGGGTCCCCCCTTCCTCCCCCCCTCCCCACTTCGAACCAGGCGAGGGAAGGAAGCCGGGAGGGGGGGAGTCTGGGGGGAGGGAAGGAGAGACCCAGGCGGATCCTTCTCGGAAGAGCCTCCTGCCCAGATTGCCCCCCCCGACCCTCCCACGAACAGACCCCCCCCTCTCCCCACTTTTGGGTCTCTGGACCGCTGGGCTTTTCTTTCTCCCATTGATTGGGGGAAAGAATTGGAGGTTTTGGGGGGGTCTCCGCCTCCCCCAAAAGAAAAGCCAGCCGGGCTTCTCCTCCAAGCTCCTCTCCCCTCCCCTCACTCAACCCCACTTCGGGACAGAGGGGACCCGCTGGGAACACGTGTTGGGGCCATGTCGGAGCGCGCCTTCTGACCCTCCGGCGCTCGGCCCGCCACTCTCCCTGCTCCTCCAGGCCGGGCTTGCTGAGGAGGGGAGGGAGCAGCCCTGATGCCTCCCCTCTGCCCGCCCCCCTGCCCAGCTGCCTGGAAGAGGCGGCGCATTTCTAAGATGGCTGGAGGGGCCCAAAAGTGCCCCGTTGCCAGAGCCGGCCCAGGCCCCTCCGCCCTCTGGCCCGCCAAGGGGTCGCACTTCCTCCCGCCGCCCCCTTCTTTTTCTCGGTCCCGCCGATGTGGGAGGAGGGAGGCCAGGCTTGGGGGAGCCTCCCCCTGCCAGAGCCGCCCCCGCTCTTCCATCCCCGGCCTCTTTGCTGGCGGCCGCAGCTCAGGTCCCGCCACGGAGGCTTCGCTCCCGTCCTGAGGCTTCAGCCATCGCCCCCGCCATGCAGAGGACGAGAGGGCCACGGGGAGCTGCCGCAGAGCGGGGAAAGAGCCGCATGGGACTCCGGGGCCACCGGTGGCCGACACCCATCCTGGGCAATTAGAATCTGGGTCCCGAAAAGGGAGGGAGGGAGGGGGGCCTTGGGTGCCAAAACAGGGTAGGACCCTCCGGCTGTGAGTGAGAGAAATGGCTGAAATGGCGGGGTGAGTGTAGGGGGGGGGTCTCAGGTGCCCCCAATGTCTCTCCACAAGCGCTCAGGGAGGACCCTGCCTGCTGGCATTCTGCTCCTCCAAAGGGGGCTTGAGGGGAAGCAGAGCAAGGGGGCCTCTGAGCAGGAGGGGGGTCCAGCCCCTTCCCCTCCCTGGATCTGGCGACCCTTCTCCTGAACCAGTTCTGGCCTCGGACCCCCCCCCCCCAAAGTTGCCGGGATGGTGGATCCAGAGGCAGTAGAGGGAGGAGCCTCCTATGGGGGCAGGAAAGAGGAAGAGGAAGGAAGGAAGGATTCCAGGGTTTTCCTACATCTGAAGTTTATTCTTTTTATTATTATTATTCATATGTAAACATTTTGAATACAGTGTATTGTCAGGGCATTTCATTTACAAAAGAAAAGAGAAGGAAAAAAATAGCAACATATATGCTAATAATAGTAATGGTACAACAGAATAATTTTAACCAAACATATCTTTATGTCAGCTTATTTATAATTGTGGTAATTATATTGGCATACTTATAAACCATCTTTATGTTTAATTCATACATAGCAATCATCTTTCTACCTCTTATCTCCAACCAAGAAGTTTATTCTTTCATAGCAAAGCGAAGGGAAGTGACTCGGAGGAAGAATAATGTAGATGAAGCTGCTGTGGGTTCAAAACCAGGAGAGATGTAGGGGCTAGAGTGACAGGTCAGCCCAGCATCCCTGGGGACAGTCTAGATGGTCTCCACCCTTCCCTCCCAAGAAAGAGCAGCCCTGAAAGGAAGCTGGAGGGGGGGGTCTCAGCAGGAGAAGGTCCAGGCTTCCATCCTCCTCCTCCCCCCATCCTGCCACCTTCACCTCCATTTCTCAGAGGTTGCAAACAGGACAAAGAGTCATCAGCTACTAAAGAAAAAAAATTCCTTTTGCATCGGAGAGCAGGATTAATTCATGAGGGCCGAAGAAAAAGAGAAGGGGAAGAAAATTAGAATATAAAGAGAAACCCTACTTCAACCAATCCACCATCACCCAAGACGAGGCACGCACACCACCAATTACCTCAATTCAAACTACAATTGGCCTTAAATGCAAGCTACTAAATGCAAGAAGCCTTGTGAATAAAATACCTAAATTTCTCCTCTTACTAAATATGGCTAAATTCAACATCGTATTTGTCTGTGAAACATGGCTCAACACATCTCTCCCTTACTCCATTACCATAGTAAGAGACTATCATGTTTACCAATCAGATCGTGAAATTCGTAGAGGAGTTGGTGTTGCTATCTTCTATAAAAAGTCCTTACGTCTAAAAAACATCCAAGTTACCCAAGAGCTTGCTATTCCTGAGACCATTATCTGTGAACCGACCTTAAACATCACATTTCGATTCTTACTATGTTACAGAGCCCGATTATGACATAGAACATGTAAACGAGCTAAATACACTACTAACATGAGCAGCATCCTGCCCACACACTTTTTCTTGGTGACTTCAATCTACCTCATATTAACTGGACCCTTAACAAATGTACATCTGAACCCACACATGCAACCTTCTACAATGCAGTAACAAATCTGGGGCTAGAACAACTAGTAACCAACAATACTAGGCTTAACAACTGCCTCGGTCTCATCTTCTGCAATAGTTTGAATTCAATTTATGGAATACAAATAAAAGAACTCTTTTCCAACAGTGACCACAACATGATTGACTTTGGTCTCAACATATGTTCACACAAAAATCATCACAACAACAAAATCCCCAATTATAACTTTAAAAAAGGCAACTATGATCTTATAATCAGCAATCTCTCATCCCTTGATTGGCAATTTCTATTCACTTGATGCAATACTGTTGAAGACCATTACAACATATTCTTATTAGAAATCAAAAGAGCCATCAAACTATATGTACCAATAACTCCAAAAACCAGGAAAAACAGATTACCCATAACAATAAGGAAGCTTCAATCCAAAAAGAGATCACTTTGGTGAAAAAACGAATCTGGTCACGTTGCCAACTTCAAAAGCCGATACAAAAATCTATGCCACCAGATAAAAACTGAATGCACTAATTATCACATTAAACAAGAGGAAAACCTTCTACGCACCAATTCCACCCGCGCTTTCTATAATTTTGTAAACAACAAACTAAAAGACTCAAGGTCCATCCCACCCCTGAAAGGACCTAATGGTAAAGACTACAACGACGACCCTATTAAAGCCAACCTCTTTAACACATTCTTCGGATCAGTATTTGTAAACAGCAATGGATCAAGCCCAGTACTTCCTAGTCCAACCACAGACAATGATCTAATACATATCGATTTTACAGAAGACAATGTTGAAAAAGCACTACTCAATCTAAAACCATCTCTATCCATTGGATCAGATGGAATATATGCTTACTTTTTAAAAAAGCTATCCACTGCCATAGCCAAACTTCTAAGCATAATCTTTGAAAAATCTTTCAGGACCAGCTCCTTGCCAAAACTATGGTCACAAGCCACAGCCATCCCCATCTTCAAAAAGGGAGACCCCAGCCTAGTTGAAAATTACAGACCAATCTCCTTATGCTGCATCACCTGTAAAGTCATGGAATCAATTACTAACCAATCCATTATCCTACACTTAGAGACAAACAACCTACTCTCTAATAAACCATTTCAGAAAAAACTATCCTGTAATCTGCAACTCTTACACTGCAAAAACATATGGACTACACAAATCGATCAGGGCAAAGGAATAGACGCAATCTACATAGACTTCTGTAAAGCCTTTGATTCAGTGGTACACGACAAACTACTCCTAAAACTAAAATACATTCATCAAGAGACGACAATCAGAAGGTACGACACTTAATGATAGTCATAGGGTGCAATAAGCAATTAAATCATACTGGGAAACAGTCCATATAAATGTTAAGGATACAAGCGACATTGGGGTCACTGCCCCCCCCCCCCGAATTTTCTACCTTTGGCTCCCTTCCTGACAAAAGGGGTTGCCGGAAGGCCGGTTGCACCCCTGGCGCTGTGGGGTTTTCTGACCCACCGCAAATAGTAGGTCGGTGTTTGGTTGAAGAAGGGCTGTCGCTGATCTGAATGTGTGTGTGGGGGGGGGGATTTAAAAGGTGGGGAAAGCGGGAATCCCTGGCTGAGAATCGTGAAGGGAGCTAAGAAAGTGGAGGGTCCCTTCTAGAACTGCCATGAACTCCCCTCCTTGAGCTGCAGCCCCCAAAGACTGAAGGGATCCCCCCTCCCACTTTCACTTTCGCTCTCTGCGCTGTACTCTCCCTCCTCCTTCAGCTGAAGTCACAAAGGACTCTGCCCGGAGACCGATGACGCTCCAGCAGGAAGAATTCCCATTGGTGCTGCAGCTCGTTCTGGCCCCTCCCAGCTCCAAAGTCAAATAACGCTTCCTCGCCTCAATTTAGAGCCCCGATTCCTCCTCTGGGGCTGTAAGCATCTGGCCGGAACACCCCATTCCTCCGCCCCCCCACTTCACTTCGCGTATGAAAATTCCTGCCGTGGGAAGAGTTTCTGGGCTGGAGGAGAAGGGGGAGGGGCACCCCGCAGCTGGGAAGACTTGGGAGTCACAGACACCCCCAATCCGAAGGGAATCCTCAGCTGAACCAGGAAAAGGCGGAGAGGATCTGCAGGGATCCCTCCTAGCCCAGCAGGATCCTCTTCCCAGCCCCTCCCCCCTTCCCGGGGGAATCCTCCTCTCGGCTCTCTCGGGAAAGACGCCGCTTCTCTTCACGGGAGAAAAACGCCTTTTCCCTCCTTGAAACACGCGTCTCCCTTGCTCTGAACGTCTGGATGAACCCACTTCTTCCGATTTTCTTCCCCCCTCGACCCCTCATGTCCAGGACCCGCCCTCTTTCTGTGGGTGAGGAATCCGGGTCCCCCTTTTCCTCAGGGCCCCGAGGGAAGATCCCGGAATCCAGGTGAGCCGTTTCTCCTCCGCTTCCTTCTCCTTTCTTCGGAAAACGTCCACCTCTTTGCCATCATTGCCAGGTATTTCTCTCTTTCAACAGAGAAAAACATCAAGTAAAGTTTCGGAAGAAATTTTGCCAGTAGAAAAGTGCGGATATATTGTGGAATCCGGATGAACTTTTTCCCCAGGAATTTGGATATTTCGTCTGCGGAACAGGAAGCACCCCTTTAAAAAAGGCTCCTTTTGGTTATTTTTTTATGAAGATTCCCATGGAATGAAATAGAAAATAAAGGTCGGGAAATGGGAAAGAGAAGGGGGGAAGTGTAGAAAAAAGGGGAAAAGTTTATTTTCAAGGAAGCAGAATACAAAGTGAAATTTCAGCCTCAATTCTTCCCTCTACTGTTCATTCTTAGTAAATTTGGTACATTTCTATAAAAAGCAATCCTAATCAGCAAATCCTATAGAGAAGGTTTCCCTTCCTTCTGCCTCAAGCACAAAGTCCAGAAGTGGTTTCCAGGTAGAAACACAGCTGGATCTTTTCTTTTCTCTGGTCAAAATAGCTCATCTCACCCTCCCAGCCCACTCCCTCATTTCTTCCGTCCATCCACCTTCAATCTTGGGGATGGAGGTATATTTCCAGTTTTACATATTAAAAATTCCTATTTGTACTAGCTTGTACAGTAATAAAGCTCCAATTTTTTATTTAAAGTTCTTTATCCAGTAATCCTAAAAGGTCAATCTCTGGTTTTCAACAGATGCAGAGAGATAAATCACATTTATGCAATAAAAAAATCATAGGAAGGAGATGAAAAAGACTCTCCCCTCCCCTCCAAGATAAGCAGGGATCAGCACCAGACAAACAGGCAGAAAACAATCCTCCAATCAAGGAACCATCCAGGAGGGAACCACACAATCTCTGGCAGGGCATCTAAACAGGCAGCCAATCCCCTCTCTCTTTTGCACTGAGGATGTTACCTAGCTGGATAATGAAACGTCTCCAAGCGAACCAAGCACCGAGGGCCCCAATGACCCCAGTTTAACCCAACCTCCAGATATTCTCTTCTGTGGACCACATCTTCTTTCAAATCCCATCTTCCTCAACTGATCCCAAGGTTTGTCCATTTCCCTCACCTTCTCCCCCCTCTCCCAATCTCGATCAACTGGATTCTTTGTGATTCACGACATCCACCTGCTACAAGCAGCTTCTCCTTCCTCCCCTCTGAACCCCCAGAAAATGTCAGTTCCCTCTTGTGTGTGGGACAGAGCACATTCCACCTTCTGCTGAGCATCCAAAATTCAGGGATGGAGGGAATTTATCTGACCCAGTTACCTAGTTGGTTAATTCAATGTCTCCAAGGAAATAACCAAGCTCAGAAGCCCCCAAGGACCCCAGAGTTGAACTAAGCTCCAGATAATCTCTCCTGTTGCACTAGGATAGGATAGAATTCTTTATTGGCCAAGTGTGATTGGACACACAAGGAATTTGTCTTTGGAGCATAAGCTCTCAGTGTACATAAAGAAAAAAATACATGTATCAACAATCACAAGATACAACACTTGGTGATAGTCACAGGTTACTAATAAGCAATCAAATCATACTAGGGACCAAATAAAACAATATAAATTGCAAAGATACGAGCAACATGGTTATAGTCATAAGTGGGAAGAGATGGGTAATAGGAAGGATGGGAAGAACTTACAAAGGCTTTATAAAACGGTACTAATACTTCACATGATTTTGATTCTATGCCTGTTTATACAATCAAGGATTATATTAGCTTGTTTGGCTGCTGCTGCACACACTTGTCTTAGGTTTAAGTGATCATCCATTCAGACTCCCAAGGTCGCTCTCAGTTACTGTTTTTGAGCCAGGTTTCCTGTAATGTTTTTCCTGCCCAGGTATAAAATCTTACTTTTCTCCACATTAAGTTTCAATTTGTTGGATTCAACCTTGTCTCATTTGGATTATTATACATACAAATTTATAGAGACCTATAGAGGTCAGTGGTTAGAATGTAGTACTACAGGCTAATTGTCCATAGCCAGGAGTTCAATCCTGACCAGCTCATGGTTTATTGAGTCTTTCATCCTTCTGAGGTCCCTAAAATGAGGACCCAGATTGCTGGGGACCATATACTGACTTTGTAAACTGCTAGAGGGTGGTAAAGCATTGTGGAATGGTATATAAGTCTAAATGGATTGCTATTGCTATCTCCGGAGCATGAGAAGATGACCATTCCAAGAAAAACTATTCCCACATTGCATGCATTTATTTTATTTTATTTGAGTATATATTTTATTTTTATTCATAAACATTTTCAATACAGTGTATTGTCAGGGCATATCATTTAAAAAAAGCAAAAGAAAAAACAAACAAATATCAACATATATATAGTAACAATAATGATAGTGTAACAAAATAATTTTAACTGAATTTCTTTTATTAGATAACTTAAGAGTTCTGTTAATTATATTAACATGTTTCTAATTGTCAACCCTCTCTGTATTTAACTCTTACATAACAATCATCTTTCTTCACCTAATTTCTAATGGGAAATAAGATTTCATCTATGAGCAAAGGTCTTTCCACATTCCGTGCATTTAAATGGTTTCTCTCCTGTGTGCATCTTTTTGCGTCTTTTAAGATCACTGCCATGAGTAAATGTCTTTCCACACTCTATGCATCTATACGGCTTTTCCCCTGTGTGGATCCTCTTATGGGAAATAAGATGACCTCTTTGAGGGAAGTTCTTTCCACACTCCATGCATTTAAAAGGCTTCTCCCCTGAGTGGATCCTTTTATGGATAGTAAGTGTACTGCTATGAGCAAAGGTCTTTTCACACTCCATGCATTTATACGGCTTCTCCCCTGTGTGGATCCTCTTATGGGAAATAAGATTACCTCTTTGAGCAAACGTCTTTCCACACTCCATGCATTTAAATGGATTCTCTCCTGTATGGAGGTTTTTGTGCATTTTAAGGCTACTGCTCCGAGTAAAGGTCTTTCCACACTCCATGCATTTAAATGGTTTCTCTCCTGTGTGGATCTTTTTGTGCCTTTTAAGATCACTGTCCTTAGCAAAGTTCTTTCCACACTCTATGCATTTAAAAGGCTTCTCTCCCGAGTGGATCCTTTTATGGATAGTAAGTGTACTTCTATGAGCAAAGGTCTTTCCACACTCCAGGCATTTAAATGGTTTCTCCCCTGTATGGAGCGTTTTGTGGCTTTTAAGGCTCCTGCTCCAAGCAAAGGTCTTTCCACATTCCATGCATTCATACGGCTTTGCCACCGTGTGGATCATCTTATGGGAAATAAGATGACCTCTTTGAGCAAAGCTCTTTCCACACTCCATGCACTTATACGGCTTGTCCCCAGTGTGGATCATCTTATGGGAAATAAGATTACCTCTTTGAGCAAAGCTCTTTCCACATACCATGCATTTAAAAGGCTTCTCTCCTGAGTGGATCCTTTTATGGATAGTAAATGTACTGCTATGAGCAAAGGTCTTTCCACACTCCATGCATTTAAATGGATTCTCTCCTGTATGGATCTTTTTGTGGCTTCTAAGTCCACTGCTCACAGTAAACGTCTTTCCACACTCCATGCATTTATACGGCTTCTCCCCTGTGTGAATCCTTTTATGGATAGTAAATTGCCTGCTTGTTCTAAAACATTTTCCACATTCCAAACATTTATAAGGCTTCTCTTTTGTGTCAATCGCTTTTTGAGATGTAAGGAAATTATTCCCAAGAGAAAGAATGAATGTCCCATTGTAATTTTGTCCGTTGTGTCTTCTTATAGAACCTTCTCCTTTGTTCTGGGTTAAATAGTGTTCATTTACTTGTACTTTAGCTTTGATTAGCTTCACACTTTTCCCAGTATATTTTTTCCTTATTTTCTCTTCTTGGGCAAGAAAGTCTTGCATTGGAGCATCACTGGCAGATAAGCTTTCCTGAGTCCAATTCTTTGACTGGTTTGTCTCATGACTTTCTAATTCCACTTGAATTCCAAACTTCTCTGTTCCATCTTTAGCACTGATCACTTGGAACAGTTCACAGGAATCTTGATTCCCCTGCCCATTATTACCTTCAAAGCAAAAGGGAAATAAAAATGAAAATAATGTCTATAGTAAAGAAAAACATATTTAATTATACATATATTAACAGCAGCTAGAATTGTATTTGCTCAAAATTGGAAAAATGAAAAGGTTCCAATGGAGGAGGTGATTAAGAAAATATTGGAATGTGAAGAAATGAGTAGATTAACATTGGCAATTAGAGAACAAGAAGAAATGGAATACTATATGATATGGGATTTATTTTATAAATGGTTGGAATATAAAGTGTAGATATTAAATGATAGTTATAATGACATATAATGTTGAATAGATTGTAATATGAATGTAAACTTAGTAAGAAATGTATACAAAATATTAATATGTGCATAAGATATATGTACCCAGTCGACACACTGTGTAACTGAAAGATGGAGTTGTTTTTTAAAAAAATAAAAATAAAAAACTTAAATAAAAAAGAAATATAAAATGATAACAAGGTTTGAGAAAAAAATCAAAGTTGGAAAGTCCATTGAAATTCCTTCTGAATTTCTCCAAAAAGACAATTAGGTTATATGTTTGCATGCCTATAGGCATGTGATATGATTTCTATATTCATGAGTCACGAAAGCTCTGAAAATATCTAGAAAACATCTCTTTCTTTATAATTATCTATATATATGTAAATCTGACTCAGTCAGTTTTGAGTTAAGGAATAAACAGGGCAAGCATCCAAGGAGGAATTAGGAGAAAACTTAAGATTTATTGGGGTGGGTTACTTTCAGCAGAGACTGTGAGAAATGAAACCATTTTGAAACAAGCTCCTTCTTCCTTGGTGTATCTTGGAGCAGCTGCTCCACAGAGTCTGTTTGTCTGGACCCCCATTTGTCCTGTTCCTCGATCCCAGCGATGAGATTTTGGAGATAAATCCCTTGCTGAAGCCTCCCATTGCCTTGTAAACACTCTTTGTGCTGAGACTGGAAAGGTTGGGATGCTTCAAGAATGGCTATTTCGCTGCCCCAAAGTCTCATTGGCTTGGAAGGGCTCTTTGGCCGGATCTGGTACAATTCGCAGAGAATGGAGGTCTAAAGTACTTTAGTGCTAGATCACACAAGACCAGTAGTGCAAGATCTCAGGCTCCTAATCTCGTGTGATCTCGCACTGCAGTATTTTAGGCCTGAGTTCTTTTAAAAATGGAGGACTTCACGAGGTCCAGTTAAAAAGTCTTTGAAAATGAAGAGGGGACTGGGTCTCAAGGACTAGGAGGAGGGCTAGTCATAACTTGGAACAGTTGCTAACTGGACTGTTGTAACTCGGGGATTACCTGTACCCTAGGATGCTCTGAGTCACACTGCATGGAACCTTTGTTCTTGAATTGGATTGGGAGAATGCTCTTCCATGGCCTCAGAGTGAAAGTTCTGTTCTCACACAGTTTTGCAGGTTTCAGAGGACAAATGACAACAAACTCCTCACGCAGGACCTCAAGAGGACACATGAAAGCAAACCTCTTTCTTTTCAGCCTCCACAGACAAGTTCAAATAGAAATGGAAAATACAGGTGAGAAATGGCACAGAAAGCATCTTAAGCGAAGAGACATTGACACTTTCCCTCCTTGGAGCATGACAAGGCCAGATCATTTCCTTCTCCCTCCCACAATACAATATCTGATCAGTGGTATTTTAATAAAAACTAATTATAATCTGTCTTTTTGATTGGGGAGTAGAAAACTCTTACCCAGAGAGACCACGCTCCTATGGTTTTCAAGCATGACTTCCAAATGCAGCGCTTTCTGGTCAGGATCCAGCTGAGACCATTCCTCCTCAGAGAAATACACAGCCACCTCCTCGAAGGACACCAGACCCTCCTGGACATGGAAAAAGGAACAGAACAGCAGGATTCACAAGGTCTGTTCATCTTCATCACTGATTTAGAAAAGAGGATAGAAGGGGAACTCATCAAATTTGCAGACAAGACCAAATTGACAGGAATACCAACACTCCAGAAAATAAGCTTGAGATATAGAAGGATCGACAGATTGGGCCTCATCTAACAAAATGAAATCAACAGTGAGAAATGTAAGGTTCTACGTTGAAGAAAGAAAAACTAAATGCACTGGTGACACCTGGCTGAAGAGTAGTAAGTGCAAAAGGGTTCTCTGAGTCCTAGTGGACAACCACTTAAACATGAGTCAGCACGATGCTTCAGTTGCCAAAAAAAAAAAAAACCCCAACAGAATCATAGGCTCCATTAAGGGATAGAATCAAGGTGACGTGAAGTGTTAGTACCACTTTATAAGGCCTTGGTAAGACCACACTTGGAATATTGCATCCAATTTTGTTTGCCAGATGTAAAAAAGATCTTGAGACTCTAGAAAGAGGGCAGAGAAGAGCAACAACAATTATTAGTGGACTGGAGGCTAAAACATATAAAGAATGGTTGCTGGAATTGTGTATATCTAGTTTCATGAAAAGGGGGACTAGAGTGTGGCATGATAGTAGTGTTCCAAGAAGCAATGGATAGAAACTATTCAAGGAGAGAACCAACTTACAAGTAAAGAGAAATTTCCTGACAGAGAGAACAATTAATCAGTGGAATGACTTCCCTCCAGAAACTGTGGTGCTCCAACATTGGAGGTGTTTATGAAGAAATTGGACAGCCATTTATCTGAAATGTTATAGGGCTTCCTGTCTGAGCAGGGGATTGGACTAGAAGACCTCCATGATCCCTACCAACTCTGTTATTCTATTCCATTGTTCCCAAATTCCCAAAGCAGAGATATGCACTAAGCTGTGCATCACAGAAGTCCTAATTTTAGCTGACAAAATGGGCAAATCTGAAAATTGCTTTCACTGAAGAAATATTTGGGGAAGTTTTATCAAGCTCATTGATTCTGTAAAACCTTCAGTGCCTATCAGTAAAGTAATCCCACTTCTGGATCAACTGATCTATCGCTCTGTCTATCATTGATTGATCTAGTAATCTGAAAGGAAGAAAGCAAAGGGGAGAATATTCCCTGGGAAAGTCATTTCTCAGCCTTTGCAAAGAGGAAATGTTTGATTCTCCTAATCAAGGCGAAAATCAGAGGATTGGAAATTATTTTGTAGATCAAGGTCCCATAATTACAGGCTCAACATGGCCACTCCCTTCGGATTTTAATAGTCTGCTTTATTTTTTAATACAATTTGTTTATTTTTGAACTACTGGTTATAAATAACCAGTAATGTTAAAATGGTAATGTGGCAATGTATTTATTTTTCATTAGCCTTGCACAATTCCGAGTCAAATAATTTTTTTAAAAAGGTCTCTAACAGTTCCTGCCACTGTGATATGTTTATTCCTATTTCTTGAATGACCTTTAAAAATGGCTTCTTGTAAACTCAAAGTTGGAGGAGAACCTAGCAGAGCAAGATAAGACAAGTCTGACAGCAACTTGAACCTGCTATTCTGCTTTCCATGTTGTGGAAAAACACAAATATAATCCAGGCCAAACAAAGGGGGTGGGGGGGAATAGAAGGAGAAAGCGCTCTGCACACTCCCTTCCCTTCCTTGAAGGGAGAATAGAAATCTAATATCTTTTCCCTTTCTTACTTGATTTGGAGGTTCAACCACTGTTTGATCTCCGTCATAAAAACCAGAAAGCTTCATTTGTTGTTTCTCTGTAAGGAATAAATAATTTAAAATACATAATTAACAAAAGAGAAGGTATTCTATAGAAGAGAAGAGAGAGGGAAGGTAAGACAGATGGATAATCGGAGGATCTTCCATTACCTCCTGAGGTGTCCTGACTTGGATCTTCCCAAGGAATCCTCCCGAAAAATAGCTCCTGAGGGGGATTTGATGGGTTCTTCTTTCCCTCAGGGTCTCTGATCTCCACACTGCAGAACTTCAAATAGGAGGAGGAAAGAAAGAAGTAGAATTAATGTATGTCACACGACATAAAGTGGATTCTTCTATTCGGAACACAACCTCAAAGCCCCCAATAACCATCCGTGTGGCTGGGTGAGAAAACAGTGGAACAATGTCCTACAAGAACTGGAGAATTGCCTCATATTATGAACATGGAAGAAGTTTGGGAAGGAGGGGTGAAGCATTCAAGCACTCCCTCTATTTATTCCCTTATGAACTCCCTAAAGTCTCCCACCTGCCACTGGAGATGCTTCTTCTGCTCCTCCGCCTGGCTCAGGAGGAAGCCTTCCGCCAGGGCCACCGCCTGGGAGCTGCTCTCTGCTCCACACTCCCGCACCCAGCCCTCCATCTCTGGGGGCAGGAGAGTCAGAAGCCGCTCCAGAACCACCAGGTCCAGCATCTGGGCTTTGCTGTGCTTTCCTGGTCTCAGCCATCGCCTGCACAAGTCATGGAGTCGGCTGCAAAGTTCTCGGGGACCCTCAGCCTCCTGGTATTGGATGGAGGTCCAGTGTGGAACTTCTGAAGGGAGGAGGGTCCTCTCCTGCAGGACCTTCTGCCCGGTTCTGGTCCAGCTCTCCCCACAGCTCCCAGGCTGAAGAGTTGTGAGGCCTTTTCCACTCCCCTCCTTGGCCAAAGAGGGTGTCTCCATCCTTCCTCTCTCCGGCAGAGCAGCTTGAAAGGGCTCCAGGGACTCTGTGGCGTCTCTGGAAACTCTTCCTTCATGGGACCATTTCTGGGGCTGCAGGACGGATCCCTGCTGGTCCTTCCGCTTCCTTCCTTCCTTCCTTCCTTCCCACCCAGAGGAAATCCTGGCTTGCAAAGGCTGCCGAGGGATCCGAGGTTCCAGATCTGGGAGAAAAACCAACGCCCAGGATCAGAAAGGGGGATTCAGCCCCTGAATACCTTTCCCCCAACTTGCCCAATAGGCTCCTCCCAGCGCAGGGCTGGAAAGCTGGTGAGGCCGCCGCTCCCCTGCTTCTCTCCCCCTCCGTAGATAGGATCGGGCCCTCGGAAAGCCTGGTGCGAATCCTGCTTCCTCTTCCTCCTCGCCTGGCTTTCCTCCTTCCCGGCTGGGCCTCCGCCAGACACCCCCTCCCTTCCCCCGCTTCGCATGGAGAGGGCGGCTGGGGAGCATGGGACCCGGGAAGAGCCCCCCCTCACCCGGAACATCTCGACGTCTCCCCGCCAGACTCTCCCGTATCTCTCCGCCTCCTGCGGCGCCCCAGGGGTTGAAGAGAGCGAGTGCGACGTCCTAGAGAGGCAAGGCTCAGTGATGTCACTTCCTTCACCGCCTCCTCCTCCTCCTCCGGGAAGGCAGGCGTGAACTTCGCCCTCCAATGGCCCAATGGGGAAGCGCCTGGAGTTCCCTTTCTTTGGTGGAGGGCGCCCTCTGGTGGAGTTGGGGCAAAGGGCCAGGATGGAAGAAAGGGCGGGAAAGAGGAGCGCATGGGGGAGAAAGGAGGGGGCAGGGATGATGGGCTTGGGAGTAGCAGGAAAGGTTCCTCTCCGGGGCTTCCTGTTAAGTCTGGGCGGTGGGTCCCAAGGAGAGACGAGACTCGAAGTAGTGACAACAGCTCTTTATTAAGGAAACCAGATACTGAGACAAGACTCCCAGCCGAGGCAGCTCCTTTTATAGAGCTGGCTGCGGCTAGGCAGCCTATGGCATGCATTTGAGCTTGCCGCGCTTGGTTTTACCCAATCGCAGCAGCCGAATAAGAACCAATCAGAACGCTTAGTTTTGTCCAATCACGGTCCGGATTTTCCAGACCAATAGGAATGCAGGCCTACAAGCCTGCTAGTATGGAACACCCCTCCCCTCTTGGTTCCGTCCAAGGGGCGGGGTAACGTAATCACGCACGTAGGCAGGTCTTCGTACCTGCCTACTAGACTTGCGCAGTTCACAATGTCTCTGTTCACTATCGGGTTCGGACGGGCTCTGCGTCGCTCTCGAGCTGCAAGATGGAACTGCCTGGAAGGGTGAGCCGGTCCTCTGGCTGCGATTCCCGCCTGGTGATTCCGGGTCGGTTGGGTCGTTTGCTCTGCTGCTCCCGCCTGGGCTCTCTGGGCTGGTGGAGCTTGTCCGGCTGCTGCTTCCAGGCGAAGTGCCCATCTGCCACGACTCCCTTCTGGCTGGTAAGTATTGTTGGTTTTTGTTTAATGACTGTGGGGGGTGTTCTACTTGTACAGATGTTCGTTCATTTTCTGAACTTGAGGTTCCCCCCCCCCCTCTGATTTCTTGGTTAGAGTCTATGAGGGGGAAAGCGGCCAGCCTGGATCTTAGCTGGTCAATATGACGTTTCCACGACCTCCCATCGGTGGTCTCGAGCCGGTAGGAGCAGGGGCCTGTGACTTGGGTGATTTTTGCAGGGATCCAAAGTGGGTCCCCTGTAAAGTTTTTGGCAAATACAGTGTCTCCTACCTTGAAGGCGCGGTGCTTGCTGCTGGAACCAAGGGGTTTTTCTGGGGTGTAAGCAGGGTGCAGGCAGTCTAGAGGTGACCTGAGTCTTCTGCCCATTAATAGCTCTGCTGGGCTCTTGTTGGTGGTGGTATTTGGTGTGATATGTTGTAGAAGAAGCATCCTGGTGATCTTCTCGTGGATGTTGCCATGTTCCATTTTGTGCAGAGTTTTTTTTGTAAATTGAACCATGCGTTCAGCTCTACCATTCGCCACTGGGTGAGCTGGCGATGTCAATGCGTGTTGGATGCCGCGGTTTGCCAAGTATTGTTCAAAAGCCAAGGCGGTAAATTGTGGCCCATTGTCAGAAACGATGACATCTGGCAGACCATGCATTGCGAAAAGTTTATTTAATTTCTTGATGACAGCTTCTGTGGTGGTTGTCGTCATTGTGCTCACCTCGAGCCAATTTGAATAAGCGTCAACAGTTATTAAGAAGGTGTGCCCCTTGGTTGGCCCTGCGAAGTCAATATGGATGCGCGACCAAGGGCCTCTAGGTGTTTCCCATTCTAATGGTGGGGCATTAGGGGGAGCCGAGCGAGTCTCTTGGCATCTGTTACAAGCGGCGACCCAGGTTTCAATTTGCTTGTCCATGCCTGGCCACCAAGCGTAGCTCCTGGCCAGGGCTTTCATGCGCACAATACCAGGGTGCAAGTCATGCAGCAAGTCTAAAACTTTTTTCTGTAGTGTCTCTGGTATTACTACCCGGTCTCCCCACAACACACAACCTCTTTGCGAAAAGGGTTCAGTTTGTCGGTTTTTAAACGGTTTTAAAAGTTCGTTTGGCTCGGTTTCTGGCCATCCCCTCTCCACCCAGCTGAGAACTCGCGCCAAGCGCCTGTCTTTCCTATTTTCATGGGCGATGTCTTGCGCGGTTACTGGTGGCATGGGGATCATTTCAATTTACAAGACTGGTAATGTGGGTGCTGGGTCTTCTTGCAGGTCTGGCAAGGGGGAGCAGCTTAAAGCGTCGGCATGCGAGATTGTCTTGCCAGGGTGATGTATCAATTTGTAATTATAAGCGGCAAGAAATTCAGACCATCTAGTCATTCTAGATGACAAGATGTGTGGGGTGGGCTTGTCACCCGCCAATATGCCAAGTAGGGGCTTATGGTCTGTAATAATGGAAAATGTCCTACCATAAATGTATTCGTGGAATCTCTTTACTGCTGACACGATGGCAAGGGCTTCTTTGTCCAGCTGGCTATAGTTCCTCTCTGGCTTGGACAATCTTCTGGAAAAGAATGCAACGGGGGCTTCTGTTCCATTTGGTAAAACGTGGCTCAGGATGGCGCCAACCCCGAAAGGCGATGCGTCGCAAGTAACAGTCAGAGGTAGCGTTTCATTGTATTGCATGAGGACTGCGTCTGAAGTCAAAAGGTTTTTTATCTGGTGAAAAGCATGCTCTTCTCGCCGTCCCCATATCCAGGAAGCCTTTTTATCAAGGAGTCTATGCAGAGGTTCTGCGACAGTCGTTTTCTGGGGTAGAAAAATGTTATAGAAATTAATGAGTCCGAGGAAGGCTTGGAGGTCCGTTTTGTTCTTTGGTCTGGGGGCGTTTTTGATGGCTTTCAATTTTCTGGAGTGTTGGTATTCCTATCAATTTGGTCTTGTATGCAAATCTGATGAGTTCCTCGTCTATCCTCTTGTCTAAATCAATGATGAAGATGAACAGATCTTGCGAATCCTCCTGTTCTGTTCTTTTTTCCATGTCCAGGAGACTCTTGTGTACTTCGAGGAGGTGGCTGTGTATTTCTCTGAGGAGGAATGGTCTCAGCTGGATCCTGACCAGAAAGTGCTGCATTCAGAAGTCATGCTTGAAAACCATAGGAACATGGTCTCTCTGGGTAAGAGTTTTCTAGTCCCCAATCAAGAAGAGAGATTATAGTTAGTTTTTTATTAAATAACCACTAATCAGATATCATCTCCTAGGACGGAGAAGGAAAGGACCTGGCCTTGTTGTGATCCAAGGAAGGAAAGAGTCAATGTCTCTTTGCTTAGATGCTTTCTGTGCCATTTCTTATCTGTATTTTCCCATTTCTATTTGAACTTATCTGTGGAGGCTGAAAAGAATGAGATGTGCTTTTATGTGTTCTCTGGAGGTGCCAAGAAGCAGCCTTTGAAAAAGTGAGAGGAGCGTGTTTTCATTTGTCCTCTGAAACCTCCCCAAATTGTGTGAGAAGAGAAGTTTCACACTCAGCCCATGGGAGCCCATGGAATCCAATTCAAGAACAAAGGCCTCATGCAGTGTAACTCAGAGCATCCTAGGGTACTAGTAATACCCGATTTATGACAGTTCACTTAGCAACCATTCCAAGTTATGACCAGCCCTCCTCTAGTACTTGAGACCCAGTCCCCTCACAAAGACTTTTTACCTGGATCTCGTGAAGTCCTCAGTTTTTAAAAGAACACAGGCCTAAAGTACTGCGGTGCGAGATCACAGAAGATTAGTAGCATGAGATCTTGCACTATTGGGCTTATGTGATCTCATACTAAAGTACTTTAGGCCTCCATTCTCTGAGAACCAGCGCCTGTACCAGATATGGTCATAGAGCCCTTGCAAGCTGATGAGACTTTGGGGCAGTGAAATAGCCATTCTTGAACCACCTCAACCTTTCCAGTCTCAACACAAGGAGTGTTTATAAGGTAATGGGAGGCTTCAGCAAGGGATTTTGTTCCAAAGTCTCATCGCTGGGATCAAGGAACGGACCGAGCGGGGGTCCCGCCTGCCAGACAGACACCGTTGAGCAGCTGCTCCAAGGTACACTGGGGAAGAAGGAGCTCGTTTCAAAATTGTTTAATTTTAGTCTCTGCTGAAATTAAGGCCCCCC